GTTACTTATAGAGAAAAATATTATTTTTATTACCCAAGGCTAAATATCAACATTCTAATAAATTGCTTATAAGTTTCTAAAGAAATGGAAAATAGTTTCTTGCCCCTGGTTTAAGCATTTAATTTTAGTTAAAATGATGGAGGAATTGCAAAAAAATCCTTCACTTACTGTCGTGCAAAGTGAGTCATATCATCTTCAATGTATTCAGCAAGCAAAACTTGATATAATGGAGCTATTGAATGAACTGTTATACTGAAACATAAAAGGCATTATTTAAGTTTTCCCATACATAATTCCAGCTGATTATATAATAGCAAGAGATGACTGCATTTTAAGTATAAAATCTTCTTGAAATTGAAGTCAGAATAAATATATTTTCAGCACTTGTCTTTTACACTTTAAATGTTTAGTTCAAATCCATCACTTTAGAAATGCCATGTTATTTACAAGAATCTTAAACTACTCTATTAAACCACAGTACAAACCATTTTATATGATCGTAGAAATAAAAGAAAACAACCTGTCAAAAAGCATGAATAAAATAATTAAATATGGTCGACTGTACCCAAACATCATGAGTGAAAAAGATGAAATCACAGAACCTATGAGCGATTTAGTAATAACGGAAGCTGCACCTATTCTGACGATTAAATCACCACTTAATACCACAAGCAGCTAAAAATCTCAGCCCTTAAGTTTTGGAAGAAATGCAGTCATAAATTAAAATGAAAAAACTAGAATATCAACATATAAGGTACCTGAGGACCAAGAGTACAAGCTGCATAAAAAATACTCATTTCCCAGGATCCTTTTTCCATAACATTTTCTGGCACTAATAATTCGGTAGCAATGGAAGCAAAGTTCAAATGTATAGTTGACCTAAAAATACAGAAAACATTCGAGTATCGTCAACAGTTATGTATGCCTTCAAACGTATATGTATACGTAAAAATGCGCTGTTAATATGGATATATTTTATGTGTGTAAATGAACTTTAAGATCAATTTACAATACTTTTCAAAAAGATTACTTGTTCTCTGACTCAAAAATTTTTGATCGAAGATTTAAAGAATAATAGACCTGCATGAATGAAGGAAATATGTGAAAGCGATTATTCGAAAATCGCCGTTAGTCAAAATTTGAGCAGTTGTTTTTAATGCAAAAGCAATTTTTGTTGCAGACTTTTCCCGTAATGGTTTTGGAGAATTTACTTCGTCATATGTCGACTTCCGATACTTTAATGACCCCGTGATTTTGAAACATATCAGTGCTAACATGGCAAGAATAACACTAATGCATTGGAAGATACGAAACTTCTGAAAATGCTTTTCTTGCAATACTTTAGATTGATAAAATTAAATAAAAAATATAACAAAATTTACATCTAAGCCATCCGTTAATTTTTCAGTGATTGGAATAATATTTACGGATATAAGTATCGCAAACTGCGAAAATTTTAAAGCAGATATACGTTCAGATCGGTTACAGGTAGTTTCTGCGAATAAAGCACTCCATGAAACATTGACACAACTGAAACTTAAATAAAAATCAAGCAAAAACAATATAATAATTAGTTGAAGAGATTGAACAGAGTACTGTATATTTAAATTAAGGAATTGAAAAACCAAAAAAAAAAACCTAAAAAAAGAGTCGTATAGAAAAAGGGCAACGATTAAATGATATCCGACAATGTAAGGCTGTGATGGTTTTTCTATATCATACCAAGGAAACCAAAAAATTAGAAAAGAAATTGCCAAAAAAGGTGCCAAGTACGATATTACTTTCGTACGACAGTGAAACCATGTAGTGCTCACGTCATGAAAATGAATAAAAATTATTTTCATAAAAATTTACAAAAAGAAAAATGAAGAAAATAAAGCACAGGGAAAATGTTTGTGGAAAAGTAAACAGCAAAAAACAGTAAATTAAATTTTGATGACATTGAATAAATGAACTCGCAGTTTAACACAATAAGCACAACCTAATCATGAAAATTGTTCTAAGCTGAGATTTCGCTCACTGACTTGATTTAGTTAAAAATTTTACCATTAGTTTTAAAGTTATGAAAAAAAATTCTAAAGTCAATATTAATAATTAATTTTATGCGCTATTAAACATAGATAGAAATCATGAATAATAAATTACGATAGTTTTGAAAAAATTCTTTTCGGAAATAAAATAGTGAAAATTTTACGTAAAACATTATGAACTTTGGAAATTTTATTTCAAGTGAAATATCTTAAGTTAAACACTAAAATTGGTTGTTAATGCGCAACTTCCCAACCTGTGCATAGCCAAATAACGGGTCATTGATTGCATTCCATACAACAAATAACATTTGCGATAAACCAAACCAAAACTGATCTATTTTGTAAATATTCCAAAATACTTTTACATAATAAAACATGAAGAATGTTTGCATTAAACTCATAGCTAGTTGACCACAGCATATGGCACCGTTTACAGTCACAGCCATTTTTGTACATTCTTCGCTTCAAACTTCAATTGCTTCACTTAATCATTCAACGATTCAATCAGCTAAAAATAAATAATTAATTTCAGCAATAAAGCAATTAGTGAATAAGTTTAGCATCCATATGAAACTTATAGTATATTACATGATTTTCCGAAGTACTATACCCACAAGCATAGCCATATTGTTTTTCGCAAATAAATAACCTAAATTAACAAACCATGCTTTTCATATCCAACAAATAAAAGATTAATAACAACATTTATTAATTATAAATTAAAAATATGCAAAGTAATGTTACTGAAAATAGTTTGTGATCCGTTAATTTGCATTAAACTTTTGTTTACCATTTGTTTCAGCCGCGTTATATTTTAATAAAGTGTGGTGCATGCAAAGCGTATCGAATAATCTAACAGAAGAACGCAAGAGAGTTTGTTGTCTTCATCAAGGTTAGACGTAAATTTTATTAATTTTTTGAACTTGAGTTTTATTACTTCCTATATATTAAAGCGTATACTGAACTGTTTGTTTAGTTTATTTCAAATGTTTTCGTATGTTTTTTAGAACGTTCCAAATCACATATTCTAAATTATAATTCTTTTTACTGCCTTTATTTTCATCCAAACTGATTAAACACATCCATTTTTTATTTCATTGCACTACACTGGTATTTGTATCCACGTATTTATGCATATTATAGTATCTTGCATGTTTTTAGTAAGTAAATTTATTTCTGTTAAATTTCAGAGGCGTAGCGTTCGTTACTCTGTTATGAAAGGCTTGTTTGATAATGGAGCAGCGAACGCGACAGTGCGCCGTCTTGTTGCAATGACTCGTGTAAAATCAGCAAGCGGAGAAGGAAACAATTTTGAGGTTTATCTACTCACTTTATGCACTTTTTAAGCTTTGTCTTAATTTTCAAAAGTGTATTATTTAGGAATAATTTTTTAATAGTTTAGTCTTTTTCACTTATCTTTGAACAAATATATGCAAATTCTTGTCAGCTTCAGTTATGTTAAATTAATTTTGACTGTAAAAAATTAAATACACGCTCACAAAAGTGCATTAATCTTGAAGCAAATGGAAATATAGGTTTTGTCAAAGCACTATCAAACAGTAACTGGGTTTTAAAAATGCAGTTATTGTTAAATGAGTTAGTTTAATTGTTAATTAAACTCGTTTTATTTTTCTTTATTTTAAATAGCGCTAAGAGGGTTTAGAATTGAAAATAATTTATAATTATGAGTCGATTCAGTTTTTCCTGAATAAGATTAGTATGTAAAGGGAGGGCAAATGTTGGGATTTCAAGTATTTTCATTAATAAAACAAATATGTGTTGAATCGTGACTAAGTCAGAGCAGATTTCAATTTTTTATTTCAAACACTCTGTTTCACAGAGTAATAGCCTAAGATGAAGCTGTTGAATTGAAGGATGAACACTGGCGCGAAAAAGCGGTTAAAAGTTTGATAAGACGACTGAAAAAATCGAAAGCTATCGATGAATTAGAAAAAGCTATTTCAACTGAGGATCCTAACACAGATTGCGTTTGCATTCCTCGGTAGCTCTGATTTTTCAGTTGTAATTGATTATCATTTCAATAAATTACAAGAAATTTTTATAGTTAAATTGTGCTAGTCATGATTATCTCGTTATGTCTGAGATTAAATGATCATAAAAATTAAACTGTTCTAAACGTCTGCATTCGGGAAGAATAGCGAGTTATTGACTTTTATACTTTATCAAAGGTGGTATTTTTCCATTATTTGCTTTGAAAGGGATGTGAAATATCTTTTGCTGTGCATGACTAGATTGTGCCGCAGTACTTTTGTCATTTTAGAAATGTCATTGACAGTTGAAGAAAGTATTTTTTGCCTTTGCATATAAAAAGATATATTTTTTGACATATCTTGGATAATACATGGCTTTTATGATTTTGAATAAGAATGATTTCTATATAAGCAGAGGAATTATTTTTCGCCATTTTCCAGGTCTTTGGATGGCCGATTGCAGGTGTCGCAACGTAAATGTTTACCTCATGTTATTTTTTGTCGTATGTGGCGTTACCCAGAGTTGACTTCCACTCATCAATTGAAATCTGTTCAGCACTGTCGTTTTCCTTACAACAAGAAGCTAGAAACAGTTTGCGTGAATCCGTATCATTATGAGAAGGTTGAAACTCCTCGTACGTTTAACTGATTGTTTATTTCTATGATGCCGGCTATATTGTGCTATGTTGTGATGTTGTGACGGCATCATAAAGTTGTGAAAGAATAAGTTGTAACATTTTAAATGTTGTGGGAATATTGAGGCACATAATTTGTCTCAAACATTTCTCAAGTATGGTGGAATATTTCTGCGCAGTTGTAGTAGCTTAAATTTCCTGTCTAATTCGTCCAAAATATTTCAGCACTGCCTGCTATTTTGGTACCTCGAAGTGATAATATTTTTGATGGAAATACTAGTCTCTCCAATATAGGAGATTTGTCCAAAGCTCTTCGAACCGCTTTTCCAGCTGTAGATACTAATGAGGCATTACTTTACTTACTTTCATCGAAGATTTAAAATTTATTGCATCAGATTGACTAATATACTTGCATTATAAATGTATATTATTTTCAGAATCTATTGTGTAGGTTCTATTCTTGTGAAATGCATCAAATGTAAAGCATTAGGTCATCATTCTAATGTCTTAGATTGTGAGTCAAGGTGTACCGAATCGTACTCTTAGCAGTAATAGTCAAAAAAATTGTCGAGATGGTAGCAGTTCTCCCGCTCTTTCATCACCAAGCATGAATAGCCCCGTTGAAATAAACACACTTGATGCTGTACCTTTATCGCCAATGAACAGTTCTACTGAAAATCCATTATTCCCAATTAAAAACGAAGGTGGGAGTTTGAAAAACAATAAATTGATATTTATGATTTGATTGATCAAACTTTCTGAAAGTTGATCATTATAATGTAAAAGCTGAATTAGTCTTTACAGCCATTTCTCCACGTGATTACGTGAGTGATGATTTGGATGAGAATCAGAGTCTTATTTCACCGCAGATCTGTCCTAGTGCAAGCGGTTCATCTATAGCAGAACCAATTAATGATCGTAATTTTTATAATTTTTAAATTTTATTGCAAATAGATGTCTGTCACAATCAGGGATATTTTACCAAAAAATTTAGCGAGTAGTATTTAATATTTGTTAAACTAAACTTCGCACTGTTAAAAATGTACTTCGCACTGTTAAAAATGTAGAAAGAATTCAGTAACAAACAATTCATGTCTTACATGCTTTACAAGGGATAATGTAGCATAAATAGTCTAATTATCCTGAAATTTCTTTTATCTGCGATAAAAATTGTTGGTTTTATATTTGCAGTGAATTTAATTGCCGTCGAATATTGTGAACCGCCGTTTTGGTGTTCTGTGTCTTATTATGAACTTTCACAACGAGTAGGAGAAACATTTCATGCATCTCAACCATCATTAATCATTGATGGATATACGGCACCTTCAGATGCAGAACGTTTTTGCTTGGGGCAGTTGTCAAATGTTAACCGCACTGCAAGTGTTATAGAAGCTCGAAAGCATATTGGTAGAAATAGTGAAAAAGATTTTTATTAATTTGTCGACATTTTTCAAATTACGGTCGACGATTGTTTTTCGACATTCTCATCTAGTATTTTTATTTCGCAATATATTCAGGTCGAGGAGCTCGCTTCTATTACATAGGTGGTGAAGTATTCTGTGAATGTCTAAGCGATTCGGCAATATTTGTTCAGAGCCCAAATTGTAATCAACGACATGGATGGCACCCTGCTACAGTGTGTAAAATTCCACCAAGTAAATTTTCATTCCCATTATAATGTTGAATACTTATTACTGTTCGATCTTAATTGGTCTGTTTTTTAAAATAGTCGTTTCTTATTGTAAGCACTGCATAATTTTTGGGACTTCTTCTTTATTCCAGTATCATGAATGTTTTTGAATCTTGTCTCGGTCTCCTAAATCCTTCTCAGTCGTGTACCAGATTAATTGCCCAGCTTGTTTTTTCTTTTGGTTTTATTTTTATTTTTTCTCCTAAAAATGTGCTAAAGATTAAATTATTGTTTTTACCGGTTTTTAATTCGTCTGAACATGAATTCAACAATAAAAACTCGTTTTCACTGTTAAAACCATTTTTTTGATGACTGAATAGAAATAGTTAAGCGGACAGCAAAAATTGCTTGAGTGAAAAATCCAACATTTTCGTCAAACCAAATATATAATTTTGTAAATTATGTAATCTCAATTTACGGTATTCATGATCCAAAATTTACCCACACTTTAGGAAACATAGAAAATATCAACTTTAATTTGTTTAGTACTTTTGTTTTTCAGACTGTAATTTGAAGATTTTCAACAATGCAGAATTTGCTACACTCTTAGCTGCTTCAGTTCCTCAAGGTTTTGAGGCAGTTTATGCTCTCACTCGAATGTGCACCATTCGAGTATCATTTGTGAAAGGCTGGGGAGCAGATTATCGTCGTCAAACAATCACTGCTACTCCATGTTGGGTGGAAGCGTATCTGAATGGTCCATTACAGTGGCTAGATAGTGTTTTAAAGCAAATGGGTAGCCCACCAAATCGGTGCACAAGTTTCACATAACTATTGTCTTATGAAATATTTCTTACATAGATGGTAACTGAAGAATGTTTTTGCAGTATTATTGCTTTCTCATTTTCAGTTCTGATGAAAAGTTAGGATGTGGCACTGAGCTGCAGTGTTTAGAAGTTGTATCCTTCTGAAATTGAATGTTTATTTTTTATTATTATGGCCAAAATTATTTTGTTATATTCCATTGCTGATTTTTATCATTTGTACTTGAAAATAGCTGTATTACGCATGTCTTCTTGTCTACTCTGCTAAATAAATGTACTTATAATGTTCTTATTTTCTCTTTGTGATTATAATTATTGAGATTTCTAATTTGTCTGCTTATGATTCGTGTTGCTTTTTTTGCTATATACAGTGTTTTACATTTTGTCATGTATAGTGAGATACAGGGATTGTATTTTTTTTTCATTGCCTTCTTTTTTTGTAACACAAATTCATTATATTTGATTCTTATATAATATTAGATTAGAAATTTCAATACATAAATTTGTATCATGAAAAGTCAGTGTAACTCGAACAAATTCTTAATAAAAGGGGGTGGAATTTATTGACTGATCAGCAGTTCTTATTAGCAAAAGTTGTTGATCGTTTGAAAAAAAAATCATAACATTCTTGTTTTGTCATTTTTTAACTGTAAATATATCTTTAAGTTTTACTGTAATCCTTTGCATAGCGCTAGAAACAAAAATGACCTTGAGTACGTCTAAATGTTTTCATATTGCGTGTTCTGATACTCGTTTATGAATCCTATTCTTGACGCATTCTTGTTTTTGTTCACTAGTTCTTGACTGACCGTATTAATTGGTCATTCTTTGTCTTTTTTTTCAAGTAATTCATTTTAATTGATACTATTCTGTATTCTATATGCTCTCTCAAATGTAAGCTTGGAATTGAAATTTTACTGTGTAGAACATTCTAGCTTCTAGCCAGGCCATTCATGTTTGTACAAAAATTTGGATCGTTTGGTTCTTCTAAAAACTATTTTCGTAAATTTGAGAAGAATAACGCCAGAAAGAGGAACTTTTCGGTTGTATTTAAATTTTAGTAGGAAGTTTTGATTGCCTGTAAAGATGTGTAGACCATTTCAAGAATTCAAGAGATATAA